ATAAACATGACTCAAGTGAATTACCTACATGCACACGCAGTGACAGGGATATAAGGACACAGTGTGGCTGTTACATATTCCTTGGCACTGCAAGGTGGGGCATGGTGGGAGAATGTCCTCCTTTGTGTTCAACTCTATGGGAAATTCGGGTCAGCAGATTGGTGCTTGTATTCCCCGTCTGTGCTCAAGGTAGGAGAGAGTGATGAATATAATGTAATAAATTGTTGGCTTTATGTTTTGTCTATGATTTTACCAGTGCAATAGGACCATCTTAATGCTTTGTTAGAGGCTTGAGCAACCATGGTGGTCACTTTCTAAAGTTTTAGGAGTTCAAAAACCATATAGAGCATATAGTTGCCTAGTAATAGTATTACTTGTATTTTTTTTTCTAATTGGCTCAAATATTTCAATTCTCCTGCTAAAAAGCCCAAAATCTTGAAGATAATGGCACACGTTTTACTTCTTTTAATTCTCTCACCGTAATGTTCACATATGAATTAAATAGCTTTGTTTAAAAATTTCTAGATGACAGGGCGCCTGGGTGGCTCAGATGGTTAAGCGTCTGCCTTCAGCTCAGGTCATGATCCCAGGGTCCTGGAATCGAGCCCCCATTGAGCCCCACATCAGGCTCTTGGCTTAGCAGGGAGCCTACTTCTCCCTCTCTCTCTGCCTCTCCCTCTGCTCATGCTCACTCTCTCTCTCTCTGTATTTCTGTGTCTCAAATGAATAAATAAAATCTTTAAAAAAATTTATAGATGAGGGTAGGAATAATTCAAAGGCATTTTGCTCCTTATCAAGTTCAATTTAACAGTAAAAAGTAGGATTTTTCAAAGGATTCCTTATACCTTTGAACCAAGGTATTCGATAAATGTCTAATTTAGTGCATGCCCAGTAATATAATGGCAACTCCTTAAGGACAGATATTTGAAATATTATCTGATACTCAAAGAGGGAACCACACAACAGATTAGGAAGATTACAGAGTAAAAACACCAGTTACAATCATAAGGAAAGAAACAGCATTTAAAAATAGAGAAAGTATGACCTTTCTTGAAGGTGCTTTAAGTGTCTCACTAGTCATAAGTAGGAGACACAGAAATCTATTAACATTTCAAGAGGAAAAATGTCATATAGATGGCAGCTTCCTATTATAACTGCCAAGGATATTGAAGAAACATATTTAAGCGGCTGCCTCACTCACTTAAGGGGTGCCATCTATTAACCTCCTAAAGAGCACTTGTAAATTATGTAAATGCTCTACATTATTGATATAACATAGTCACTTTATTGGATTTTGATAACGTGTCAAAACATCTTGAGCCTCATCTATCCAAGGAGCTCAGTTCACCACTCTTGTTCAGTTTCTATGCAGTTCATTGGCACTGGAAAGCTGACAAGAGTCAGTTTTACACAGCTGTCACATATTTAAACCCATCCAGAACCAGTCAATCTATATTCCCTGGGCTAGTCCCTCTTATGGGAAAGGGATGTTTTCAGAAGGAAAGAAGTTCCAGAATGACATTTAGGAAGGGGAAGCTCTCATGTGCTAGAAGAAAACAGGCATACTGTGTAAGGTGGTCCCTGAATGCATAGTATTGTGGAGGATGTACATTCCATACAGGATGTTCATATTTTGTGGACAACTGGGTTTATTCAATGTCTTCTCCCTGTAACCAGTAAATACATTGTTTTCACGTAGAGACCATGCATTTGCTTAATATATATATATATATATATTTTAATTCTGAGATCACTGGGTGCCTGGGTGGCTCAATAGATTAAGTGTCTGCCTTTGGCTCAGGTCATGATCCCAGGGTCCTGGAATCAAGTCCTGCATTGGGCTCCCTACTCAACAGGGAGTCTGTTTCTATCTCTCCCTCTGCCCCTCCCCCTGCTTGTGTGCTCTCTCACTCTGTCTCTCTCAAAATAAATAAAATCTTTAAAAAAAAATAAATACTGAGGTCACCTAAACAATACCTTAGTTGTGGTAAACAATCAATAAACATGAATAATGTTATTCATTAACCTATATAAACTAGTCTTCATATACAATTTAAAGACGTTTTGTAGTGAGACTAGTTTTTCCCTCCATCTCTTCCAGTATGTATTTCACCTAGAGAAAGTGCCTGGAAGATACACTTAGTGAATTGAAATCAAGGCTTATCCAGGAGAAAAGCATCTTTGATGACATTCAATAGGGCTTAATTAAGAGCAGAGAACAAACTGCTTTGTTGAGTAACACAGTAACACCTCATGTGTTAACATGGTGGGTGAACTTGGGTGATTTGTTTAACCTCGATGACTCTCACATTTATAAATGAACTCATTAAAAACCTGAAGAACAATTTGGTGGTGCGAACAAAGGGAAGCATCCATAGTGACCACTACCTGAAGAAGGGGCATGCAATGGTCTGCACATGGTTCAGGTGAACATCACTTCTGTGCTGTGTTAATGTGTAACCCCAGGGAGAAGAAAGTGCTTATTATCTTGGACTAGCATAAAAGGGACAACACAGTTTAAAAGGAAACAGCTGGAGTGTGATCTAATCTCCCTGTTCCAATTTACTTATGTATAAAACATGCATAAAAAATTAAACCTCACTGAACAATTTGTCTCCTCTCTGTTCCTGGCATGCCTCAGCCCTCCAGAGGAGCAGTCCTGGCTTGAGAGAACCCAGGGATGCCTTTAAATAATACATAGATTATTTAGAGAACATAGCTTTTATAAATTCAATATTAATTTGACTGTACCATGGTAATTATATCTGAATCATAAATATATCCTGGTGTTCAGGCCTCCCTAGTTGATACCACTTGACCCCCCCTTAACTATGACAGCAAAAATGGTAGAGATCTGCCCCAGCTTTGGGGAGTGACATCAGATTAAATTAAGCACTCATATGTTTATGGATCAGCATACAAAAGCAAAAGTACATCCATAAAGGATGAATAATTCATCAGAAATTTGTTATGTAGTTCCTTGGTCATATGTAGATAATGTGAACCAGTGGTCCTGCATGAAACTCCCAATATGTTTATAATAACGAGACTCTGTCCTTTAAAATTTTACACTGTATGTTTCAATATTTTTGTAGAAATTATTTATCAGCAAAGGGATATTTTCCCACCAGTATAATTTTCTATCAATGAGATATTATAAATCAAATACTTACTATGTGCCCAAGGCTGTGTTAAGCAAAAAGCAAACAAAGAAACACTCCCCAATCCTTAAGAAACCTAAAACTTATATGTCACTTCAAAAAGCATTAGGATGGCTATTCTCAAAAAAAAAAAAAAAAAAAAGGGAATATAACAAGTGTCAATGAGGATTTGGAGAAATTAGAATTCTGTGCACTGGTGGTGGGAATGTAAAATGGTGTAGCTGCTGAAGGAAATGGTATGGAAGTCACTCAAAAAATTAAAAATAGAATTATAACATAATAGAGCAAATGCACTTAGTATGTTATGGAACCTGGACTGGATCACCAGACGGAAGGACCAAGCAACACCCGGAGATCTCAGAGGATAGGAGGTTTATTTAACACTGGTGGCCTCAGAGGAGGGTGATCTTCAAAGGTCTGAGCCCCAAACACAAACAAAGGGGGCAATTTATACACTTGTACTTCTGCATACTTGACACTTTTGGCGTGTGCATGAAGCAGGGCAGGGAGAAGAACCCAGAAGAGCCCCAGGGCAAGGACTGGGACTCTCTCACTGGCTCGGTCGGCCATCTTAAGACACAGATTTTCCTTATCATCCCCGCTTTTGATGCCCCTTAAAACACCTAGTTTAGAGGGCATCATTTTCATCTTCTACAGGGCAATAACAAGTAAGGAGTAACTGGAGTCTGATTTTAGCAAATTGAGTAGTGATAAACCTAGTAAGGGCATTAGGAATACAAGGACCAAATGCTACCATGAGGAAAAGCAATAGGAGTGGGCCGATGAGGGGGGCGAACCAAGGGAACCTCTGTGAGAGGGTATCCCACCAAGTTGTCCACTGGAGTGTTGCCCACTAGCGATGTACTCGTTCCTGTATTTGGGTCAGAGTTTCTTGGACCACCCCTGACTCATTAGCATAGAAACAACATTCCTCCTGTAAGAAGAGGCAGAGCTCCCCCTTGTGCGGCTGTGAGCAAGCCGAGCCCGCACCTGTTTTGGAGGACCACTGAGGGCATTGAATCGAGGTGTTGCTACAGGGCCAGGGCCGATTGAGTGAGGGCAGAAAAATCTGCCGTGAGTTGTTTAGTTAACCCCTGGTACTGAACCTGAGACATCCTGATGCCAGTGGCACCAAGGGCAACACCTGATGTGGCCAGCAGACTCATGATAAGAGGGATGGCCATGGAGGAGTGTCAAGGGCAGCTGGGAGGTCTCCATATGAGTGGGGCACCGCTCCCAGGAAGGACTGAAAGATTGGGTAAGAGATTGACAAGCATGCATGATTGATCCAGCGGGGTGATGCAGATGTATACACCTTGATCACAAGCCAGAAAAGTTTTGTTAGGTGCACAGACCCGACTGTGGCCCGTGCTGGGAGAGGAAGAGTTGCCATACAGTGGTACTGGAGCCAGAAAGGGATAATCTGAGGTCCCTGGTGCCGAGGTGTGAGGTGACACAGTAGATTTGGTTGAGGATGACACCTAGGTATTGGATGGGACAGGGCTTCATACGGATCCAGCAGACACTAGGGGTGGATTTGAGTGGTTAAGGGCTTGGTGGGAGGTGTTAATCATAACTAACAGCTGTGCTATAGATGCTTGCTGTGTGTGGATGGGGGACTCAGGGGTGCGCCACGGCAAGTTATTTTCTGTCTGACTCTGGTTGACTGTAAGGCTTGGAATGAACATGGACTTAATCATAAATTTGGCCATGGGGTCGGTCCCCATAGGGTGATATTGGCCCAACAGGAGAATGATTCCTGTAGCCCATGATGTGGCACTGGTTTCTAAGACTGAGAGAATGAGCGGTATACAGTGATTGTTAGGGCAAGAGGATGGGATGGCGTTTTGTGACAAGGAAATCCGGATGTCACTGTGTTGTTTGAGGCGCCACCTGGTGGACCGTCGTTCCATTCCTGGCCAAGTCTCCAGCCATGACTCACATCCCCAGGCTTTCGAGCAGAACCGAGGGCAGGTGTTTGGCTGTTGAGGTGTAGGGCCCCCACAGATGTAGATATCTAACAGCCGGTAACCTGAGTGAGGGCCATGGTAGGAGAACCGTCTATGAGGTTCCCAGGAGGTATCAAGAAGGTGCCATCCATCAAAATGGAGGGTAACTTTTGGTGTGTGCCCATCCCAGGTGGAAGAAGTCAGTGGGGGTGCTGGTGCGGGATTGAGGGGGATAAGCTGGAAAGTCCATTTGCCAGTAATGGTGATACGAGAGTTTGCCCCCCTTGTTTGGCCAGGCAAGCTAGAGGCCATGAGGAGGAACAGCACACCAGGTAGGAGAAGACCAGGATTGACTGGGGCAAGGAAAACCATGGTGAAATGTGTTCAGGAGTAGACAGCAGAGGGCCAGTAAAAGTGGGATCTATGACCTTAGGTAGAGGGAGACATCATGGCTAACCTGTCAGCAGATGAAACCTGTGGACAAGTAAGTGCAGTAGTACACCCTAGGGACACCCAATAAGCAATGACAATAGTAAGCCTCTGGGGAGAAGGCCAGTCAAGAGGGGCAAAAGTGTAGAGTCCTTCTCCAAAGATGAGGGAAATCACGCTGATGAGAGCCAGGGACCACAGTAAGCAGGTGTCCATCAGTCAGTGGGGTCTTGTCAAAGGTGAAGCCAGAGTGGGTTTGTGAAGTCTGGCTGGACTCTCCACTGGCACGGCTCCTCATCTGAATGATGAGCTTTCTTCACTCTGGAGTAGTGGACCCACGGGGTGACACCTGAGACCTTGAGGGCAGTAGGGGCAGTTAGAACAACAGTGTGGGGCCCTGTCCACTGCAGTTTGAGGGGGTCTTTCTTCCAATCTTTGTTCCAAACTGAGTCCCCTGTCTGGAAGAAGTGTACCTGAGACCCTAAGGAGATTGGGGCCCTCTCAATGGTGTACTTTTGTAATTTATTTAGGGTGGCCCCCAGGGCCTGAAGCTGCTCCTTTATCCCTTTATCTCCAACATGCTGCAAGTTTCCTGGAAGGCTTCCCAAGCACAGGGGAGGCTGTCTATATATTAATTCAAATGGGGAGAAACCTGATGTCCTGGGGGTGCAGCGAGCACGCAGGAGAGTTAGGCGTAGCAGATCCGGCCATGAGAGGTTAGTCTCCTGACAAAACTCTGCTAAATTTCCCTTGAGGGAGTGATTCATTCACTCTACTTTCCCTGAACTTTGGGGCTTCTAAGCAGTGTGGAGTCTCCAGGTGATGTTGAGAGATTTGGTCAAGACCTGTATAATGTCTGCCACAAATGCAGGTCCATTGTCACTATGGATTGTTAATGGCAGGCCAAACCGGGGCATGATCTCCCACAAGAGGACTTTAGCTACTTCATGGCTTTTTGCTCCGTCCTGGTCGGAAGGGCTTCAACCCACCCAGAGTTTGTGCATACTATTACTAGAAGATATCTGAACCTCCTGCTCAGCTGCACATCTGTGAAGTCTACCTCCAGATCTTCAAAGGGCATTGCTCCCATCCTCTGGACACCTGGCGGGGGTGGTGCAGACCGAGCATTATATTTAGCACATGTTATGCATCGTTCACTCGTTACTCGGCATAGTACTGGCAGCTGACTGATGTAGTAGTGCTTCTTGAGAAGGGCTTCTAATGCAGTTTTTCCCAGATGAGTGAGTTGGTGGTATTCCTTGACTAGATGCCCTCCAGTTGTTGTTGGAACAAAGATGTGCCTGTCTGGCATTATCCACTATCCCTTTTCAGTCAGGGTGGCTCCCTCAGCCATGGCCCATTCCTTTACCTTTTTAGTGTAACTAGGTGGAGGGACTTCTTCCAGGGGTGTTAGGGCCATGGTGAGGGAAGTGGCTCTGTCCACGTCCTCACTGGCTGCAGTCTTGGCTGCCTCATCTGCTAGACGATTTCCCCACGCTATGGGGTCATCTCCTTTCTGGTGTCCCTTACAGTGCAGGATTGCTACTTCCTTTGGAAGCCAGATCGCTTCGAGGAGTCTCAGTATTTCCTCTTTGTTCTTGATAGCTTTGCCTGCTGCAATTAGGAGGCCCCTTTCCTTGTAATTGGCTCCATGTATATGTACAGTAGCAAAGGCATACCAAGAGTCAGTATAGACGTTGACTTCTCACCAAGGGTGAGGGCTCAGACTAAGGCATATAATTCAGCCCATTAAGCTGACCATCCAGCTGGTAATGCCTTAGCTTCTAGGACTTCAGTGGTTGTGGTTACTGCATAACCCACTTTCCGGCCACCCTCTTGTAGGTAACTGCTGTCATCGCTGAACAGCGTGAGCTCTGGATTCTTTATGGCTTGATCCTACAGATCTGAACAGCTCACATAGACTTCATCAGTCACCTCAGAGCAGTCATGGTCTGATTCCCTCTCTTCTGTGAGGAGAAAGGTTGCTGGATTTAATGTCCTTACTGTCTTGAGGGTGACCCACGGGTTTTCACAGAGGAGCCCTTGGTATTGTGCTAGCCGAGAGTTGGAAAGGAAGTGGTGTCCCTGTGCGTTCATGAGGGACACAAATTCATGAGGGACCTTGATGTTAAGTTCTTGCCCCAGGGTAAGTTTTTCTGCCTCCTTGATGAGTAAGACTGTGGCTGCCAGATCCCTGAGGCACAGCAGCCATCCTGCTGCCACGGGGTCCAGCTTCTTTGACAGGTAAGAAACTGGCCTTTGCCAGGGTCCAACGGTCTGGGTGAGTACTCCGAGTGCCATTTTTTCCTTTTCATGCACAAAGAGACTGAAGGGTTTTTCTACATCTGGTAGGCCCAGGGCTGGAGCCTACCCCTGGGCAGTCTTTATCTCTGTGAAAGCGGCTTCTGCTTCCTCAGTCCAGGCAGGGAGTTCTTGATCTGGTCTCCCTAAGAGATCATAAAGGGGTCTTGCTATTGCTGAGAACCCAGGGATCCAGATGTGGCAGAATCCTGCAGCCCCCAGGAATTCTTGCAGGCCCCTTTTTGTCTGGGGCTGTGGCAGGGAGATGATAACCCTTTTCCTCTCTGGCCCTAGTTCTCTTTTCCCTTGAGTGAGGAGGAAACCAAGGTATCAGACCTGTTGTTGGCAGATTTGTGCCTTCTTCCATGAGGCTCGGTATCCCGAGTCTGACAGGAGCTGTAGGAGGGCCTTTGTGCCTTTTGTGCAATCTTCTTCTGTGTCACTGGTGAGGAGGAGGTCATCCACATACTGGAGGAAAGTGCATCGTGTGGCCTCTCGGGAAGCTGGTGAGGTCTGCAGCCAGTGCTTCCCAAAGAGGGTTGGTGAGTTTTTAAACCTCTGTGGGAAGCGTGTCTAAGTCTTTTGCTTCTGGCGCCCTGTATCAGGTTCAGACCATTCAAAGGCAAACAGTGGCTGGCTCTGAGGTGCTAAGCGGAGGCAGAAGAAGGCATCCTTCAAATCTAGGCAAGTGAACCATCTAGTCAACCCTGGGATTTGGCTGAGGAGGGTGTATGGATTTGGGACCACTGGGTGCAGAGAGATGATCACCTCACTGATGGCCTGCAGGTCTTGGACTGGTCAGTATCCCCCTCCTGGCTTCTTGATTGGCAGGAGTGGGGTATTTCAGGCTAACTGGCACTCAGCTAGAACACCCGCTTCTTTGAGTTTGGTCAGATGTTCTTGGATGCCGATCTTAGCTTCTTGTGGAAGGGGGTATTGCCTTTGCCTCTGAGGTTGGGCTCCTGGAATCAGTTCAACAATGATAGGGGCCTGATTCCGGGCTAGTCCAGGTGGGTTTTTTTCAGCCCATACTGAAGGGAAGGCGAGTCTGAACTCTGGCAGGCTGTTCGGTTGGGCCTGGGCATAGAATAACCTCCATTCTTCTTCCCTTGGTGTGGTTAATTGCTAGTATTGGAGACCCCATCTCCTCTTGCCTTGGGTTCAATCGGAGGCTAGTGTGTCCAGTGGGCTCAAAGGTTATCTGAGCCCTAAGCTTGGAGAGTATGTCTCGGCCCAGGAGAGGGATGGGGCAATCAGGCAGATAAAGGAATTCATGTTGGACCTTGTGGCCCCCAGGGTAGCACTGGCAAGCCTGACAAAAGCACTGTTGTATCGCCCACATCCCGGTTGGCCCGAGGATGGTCTCAATCCTTTTGCTGAAAGGTGCCACTGGGGATGTGACAACAGAGTGCTCAGCCCCAGTATCAACCATAAAAGTCACTGGTTGGCCCCCACCTTCATTTTGACCATGGGTTCATGGGGGCCAAGGAGGAAAGAGCCTGGTCCCCCTCAGTCTGAGTCCATTCCCGCAAGGCCTATGAGGTCCTCCTCTCGGGGTTCTTTCTTGTAGTGGTTGGGCTTTTGAGTCTTTCCCTGGTTGGGACATTCATTTTTCTAATGCCCTTTCTCTTTACAGTAGACTCGTTGATCCCTTGCCAAGGGGGTTCTGGTTCAACCACCTTTGGTGGTTGGGGTCTCCCTGTCTTTGTGTTGCCCTTTTCTCTCAGGGCAGTGGTGAGGAGGCTGACTTTTTCATCTTTCTGTTGGCTTCCCATTCAGCTGCAACCTCCCTGTTCATGTAGACCTTATTGGCAATCTCTATTAGTTGGGTGATGTTCATCCCGGCAAAACCTTCTAGTTTCTGAAGTTTTTTTTCTGATGTCTGGGGTGGCCTGAGCCACGAAGGAGGTGTTTACCATCTGTTGGCTTTCTTGTGCCTCGGGATAGAATGGAGTGTATATCCTGTAGGCTTCACATAGTCTTTTGTAGTAGTCCCCAGGGACTCCCCTGGTTGTTGAGTGACCGAGGATACCTTAGTCATGTTCATGGGTTTCATGGGTTTCTTAGCTCTTGCCTGGATTCCCTGGAGGAGGGCCTCCTGGTACCGGCAGATGTGGGCCTGTCCCTCAGTTGTGGTGAAGTCTCATGCTGTGTGCTCTTTGGGTGTGGCTGTATTAACCCAGGCATTAGGGTGGGTGACTCCCGCTGGTGCATGCTCTTCCAGGTACTGCTGTGCACCTTTCATTATTCTCCTCCTTTCCTCTGTGTTAAACAGGGTGCAGAGTAACTGTTGGCAGTCTTCCCAGGTTGGCTGATGAGTCTGGAAGAGGGATTCTATGAGGTCTACCATCCTGTGGTTTCTTCAGAGTAGGATGGGGTGTTATGTTTCCAATTGAGAAGGTTGGTGGTAGAGAAGGGCTAATAATACATCATGGAATGGCCGGGTTGGACCATCCTGTCTCCATCGTGCTTCTCACGTTCCCACATCTCTCGTACAGGCATTTGGAGGGCACCTACACCTGGCCTGGGGCACAGCCTGGCTGCTGTCCTGGAAAAAGTGGATCTTTTGGGCCTGGGGGCACTGGTGGATCCTCTGGGCCTG